ATCTTCAGGAGAACAAAAGTCTATGAAAAGCGGTCTCTGTGAGATACAATGGTCCGTGAGAGGACGGTCCTCGAATGGATGACGATCTTCAGGAGGACAAAGGTCTATGAAAAGATGGTCTCGATGAGAGACAATGGTCCGTGAGAGGACGGTCCTGGAATGGATGAGTAGTCACTGGAGAAGGTTCTCGAGAAGATAATGATCGACAGAAGAAGGTCCTCGGAAGGACAATGGTCGATAGGTGGTGGTCTTCTTGAGGAACGTGGTGAATAAGGACTTCTTAGGAGATTGAGCTCGAGTGGCTTGAGCTTGTGGATCCTGCCATTAAACTCGACAAAGATATTGCAATAATAATAATAAAGGAATGGCATATAGTAATAAGATACTCGTAAAGAATATCAGTTCAAGCAGAGGATATTAGGATGATCCCTCAAATTCCTTACCCCAAGGGTATGTCCCCGTTTGTGCCCCAAGTATGTTTTCCTCGTTGAAGGGTGATAGGGTTTTACCGTGAGAGGGTTGGTATCTTGAAGAACTCCTTTGATCGTGCTCAAAAAGATATCGTGATATGATAATAATATGATAATAATCACGGATATTAAAGCATGAAAAGGTTTAAGAAGTACCTCGATCTTGTAATAAATTGATTATTTGAGAAAGTGTTACCTCGATTCTAAGAAGGTAGTAGTTGAGTAGATGAAAGTCGATATACGTCTTCTCGAACACTTCGAGTAGTAGTATGGTGCTCGAGGGATGCATGCCCCTTCGAGGAGATGTATCTCTCGAAACTTCAATATAAGAGATTGCCCCTTGCTTCAAAGTTAAGCGAACTAATTGAATATTCTACCCCTTTCGACTGATTTTGAACTCTAGGGATTGTTCTGTAAAATTAGAAACTTTAGGGGTCAAAATTAATAAAGTTTAAAAATTAAGGGACCAATCTGCAATTTTTTTGAGATTGCAGAATTTCTTCTCGATCAGCGCAACTCCTTGAATTACTAGCACGGTTGAATTCTTCTTTGGGCTGCCTCTTGGCTGGTACTAGTCAACTGGCTGATTGTCAGGCAAAGTAAGAACCAAATTGACGCCAAATAACAAATAACAAAGTCTTTCAAGGGTGGAAAGATTGACGCCATAATAATCCAGGGACACCAAAAAATTCCGTACTCCGCAAAGAAATTTATTTGGTTGTGAGGACCAAACAAATCGGTCCCACCAGGTATTCCACTTGACGAAGCATGGATTTGTACGGTGCTTAGCGGCGGACAGCCTAAAACCTGCAAGACAGAGCCTCGGGTGTCTCCCGAGAGTAGACGCTCCGATGCTTAAGTCAATAAGAGAATAAAGAGAGTAGAGAGAGAATAATGTGTATCGTGTGTAGAAGGTGTAAAAGATAGGTAGAAGATATGAATTATGGGAGATGCACCACCTCCTTATATAGAGGTGGTGTTACCTGTTTCCCTAAACCTATTCGTAATAGGTTTAGGGCGGCGACTTATCCTTCAAGGTAGTCGGCCCAAACTCATTAGGGTTAGGGTTTATTTTATGACTCGTCACTTAGTTTATCCAGATTCGGCTCTATAGCTGGTTCTTCCTTTGTCCGTTATTGATTATGATATAGAAAAGTACAGAAATGATAAGGGTGATTGGGATGAAGGAGATTCGATCAAAGGTTCAATATGAAATTGAAGACAGCGAGAAAAAGAAGAAGAAGATCAAGATGAGATGATGACGAGGTGGTGGAGATGAAAGTCAATCCAGAATGGAATTCGGGAAGGTGGTAGAAGACTTTGGAATTGTAATAAGCTTCAGGAACATCACCATTCCTAATTTTTTGTTAGTTTATATAATTAAGAAAATATATTTGCTACCTAAGTCCTTTTGTTAATTTTCCACTCAGCCCTTAATATTTCAATTCACTCAACCTACATCACACATTCTTTTATTCTTTGCAAATCTAGTCTCTTACAGATAATATTTAGTTTACTTCATTTAAAATACACACTAAAAAAATACTTAATATCATTTATTAACTAAAACATTTAATATTCATAACTTAACAAGGCAAATATGATCTTTGTTATACTATGTACTTAAGCAAGGAGGTCCGAATAGTCGATTCTCACAGTAAAATACTGACGTGACAAGGTTTTGGAGTATAATGTTTTTAAGATTGGTGGAGATGCTCTAAGAACAATCAACGTCAGCTTTTATAGGATGTGTTTGAATCCATTGAAGAAATCACTAAAACAAGAAGCCATATGTGCTATCAAAAGTGGAACCAAAAATTGGTGAAAGTATAAATTATATTTTTTTAATAATAAATTGAATGATCCTAACGAAAATTGAACCATCGACTTCTTAGTAATACCCTATCTTAATACTCTAACCACTCCACCCAACCCTCTCACCCTGAAAGTACAAACTATATCTTATTTAGAGAAATTGGAAAAAGGTTAGGACAAATTATGGCAATTTACTATCAAGTATTGCGTAATTATTGATATTGCGTGCAACCGTTCCATCATCCATGGTGGCTGACACATAAAGAAGAATAATGATATAAAGTTTTGGTTGTAAATATTGGTTCGTTGCAAACAAAATGAGGATTAATGGCATATTCAAGATATATTTGTAACTTTACTTTATAGAATTATTATTATTTATCAAAGTTATGGATGTACAGAAAAAGTCACAGGAAAAAATGACAAGAACATGATCCCATTATCTGATTTTTAAATGTTCGACACATTATTTTCTTATAATTTTTCTTGTATCTTTACATGTATCTCTAAAAATGTCCACGTAGATGTTTTTTGGGTCATAAACAGAGTTAAAACAAAGAATACAATGATTAAGTATACTAATGCAGTAAGAAAAACTTTTAAGACGTATATAAATTAAAATTAGTCCTGTATACATCCGATTAAAGATTAGTGAATAATCTACATTCAACCATATAAAGCCATAACGAGTTTTCTTTGAACTTTTTACAAAAGAGCACATGTGTAATACATGTAATTTAGGCCTAAAGTTTGGTGAAAACACAATACAAGTAACAACACCTATGATCTTAAAACTTTTTGTAACCATAATTTTGGAACTAGTTTCTTCCATGTGATCATAGTATGACCAAAACCAAACCATAAATACAAAGCAACACCATCATCATCATCATCATCATCAATTGAGGAAAGAAGATTAGGGGAAGCCATTTGTTAACCTGTCATTGTCCCAACACTTCCAACACAAAATCGAAAAAAAAGAAAGAGATTACCACCCCAAAATCTACAGCAACCCTGTTTATGGATTCAAAGGCCAAGTGGCATACCACTATACCACTATCAATCCAGAAACCAGTTTCCATTCAATAGTTTTTTAAAGCTTCTCCTTTTACCAGTCAATTATCAATGTCTCTTGGATTCTACAAGTAGTTTGTAGCTTTCTTCCAACGCTCCCCCACATTATTTTAAAACCCATATTTATTATCCCCTCAATCCAATCTCTCTGACACGCAGACAAATCTATACAATAAAATATATCCATCCTAAACTCGGAACAATTACCAAATCTGCAAAAAACCCACCATTGTTCTCCTGTTTTTGTAATCATTTCAAGAAGGGTTATTGTTTGTTTGTTTCTTTTTTTTGTGGGCTACTCGGAGAAGAACAAGATGCTGCATCTATTCTTTGCCGTGGCTTTTTCAGCAGCTCCTTTGGTGTTGTATGTTCCACCTATAAGGAACTTGAATCTGTTCTTGGAGACAATACAAGATCTTTGCAGGGAATCGAGTGTTTATACAAGTGGGATTTATCCACGGTTACGGTATGCTTGTTCTAGGATCTTCAATTGTATGCTTTGTATCACTGCTAGGTGAAGGATAGATTGAAGGTGGGAGTTCAAAGTAAAGAGTTTTTTTTTTTTTTTTTTTTTTTTGAGTTTTGACTTATTGTTTAGCGGCAGAGATGTTATTTGGATTCAGTCTCTTTTGGTTTGATTTGAGTTTTATTTTTCCCTCTTCTGAAGTTTTCTGGTCTGTAACTCGTCATATTCGATTGTATTCCCTCTGCGGGATCTTTGTACATACAGTGATAATTCCTATTGGAAATGAAGAGAAAGATTCATAAAAAGTTGCTTCATTTTGTTGTCACAGACTCACAGTTTCCTCCTTGAGTTCTGATTCGAAATGGCTAATAATAATTTCAACAGTCGTTACCTTGTTAATGATGATTCGATGCGATGATGATCACAATGGATTTGGCTCATATGGTATTTGCAAAATCGGAGTGTCCGACATCAGTTGTATTGTATTGACTATTGATTTGTCTGTCATTAGACATTGGGACCAAACTACTTGTGAGCTGTAGCCTAAGGAAAACAAACCTTGTTTGAGGGTTCAGAATCAGAAAACTGTCAAGAATCCTTCTTTTAAAACTGAAGATGATGCATTTGATTATTCCCGTTTGATTTCTTGGTATAATGATCAGGCGGTTCTTACTGTCTCCTTGCTTAAGAGGTGGCAGTTTCAGTCCATAAGGACTGATTGTCTCCTCTGTTCCATAATAGGTCAGTGTCGGAAGAAGAATAGACAAGCAAGATTGATCCTTTAAGAAATAGTCGTTCAGATTGGATTTAGTACGAGATTGAAGAATGCAAGCTGACAACAGCGAGAACACCTATAAATATCGATGACAGAATGAGAGTCAGTTTGTCATAAGACGTGTTTGAATTTAGATCTTGTCCTAAGAGGTAGTATTTCTGTTGTACAGAGAGAATCCATGTATCTATCTGTCATGTCTACATCTGAAAGGCTGCGTGCTGATCTGGGTTATACTTACATCTGATGAAAACATTTGGCGCATGGTTTTTTCTATCGGTCTAGAAGCACACAAGTGAACAATCTAGATCACACTGAATGACTACTTAACCTTGCTGTCTTAAACAAAGATCAATTCAGGGTACTTTCAAGTTTTAGACCCTTTTTTCTTAATGTAGTCATAATATAACAGGGATACGTAATTTATCTGGGCTGGGGCCAGATGACAATTTTAGCAGATGAAGAATCGGAAGCATCACAAAACTAGAACATTCAGGATTCGACAGGAAAAGCAGGGTTACCTACCTGCCTATCTTTCTTTATTCTTTTGGGGTCAGTAGTTGGAAACTTCTGGTAATAGTTGCTTCTGATGATTGATTTCGTTTCCATTTGATGTCCATTCTATTAGTCATATCATATATCCCCGCCGTCCCAACATGATTGTTCTGTTGAAGGGAGTATGTCTCTTTTCATGTAAAGGAAAAGTTAACTCTGCATTGATAGTCTTGAACTGAAATGTGGAAACAGACAGTCTATCGTGATTTCTGCCTTGAACCAGAACCATTATCAACTTTGTGTGATACAATAAAGTTGTTGCAGTCTAGTTTGGTGCAATGGAAGACGGTAACTATAGATCAATTTATTAGCTGAAATTGGTTTCTGAGTACAATTGTATGTTTCTTTCTCTATGTATGGAATGAATAAACAAAGAATGAAAGAATGTAAGAGTCTATGCAAATCTACCTTATCAAGGAGATTCAACAAGAAATGATACAAAGGAAAGAATATAGAACAGATTAAGTTTAGCTGTCTTCTATAATGCACTAACTTGAAAGTGCACAAGGCTTCAGGAACCAGAAAACGTCCAAGGGCTTGGCTTCTTTCTCAGTAGCTGTGGTGATCAGCGAGTTGTGTCCAGTGTCACTCATGAGCTTATCCTCCAAATTGCTCTGTTCAAGCTCCTTTAGAATCCCTCTTCTCTCCTAGTTTTATGAAACAGCATGAACAACAAATTAGAAAACAGGAGGGAGTTTTATATGGTAAGCTTTCAGTGTATAGTGGAGAAAGAGAAGTACTTTAAAAAATCATTCTTACCATTGTTCTAGAATTGAATGTTCGTAGTGGGGTGGTGGGAACTTTAGATGCTCCACGATTGGCTGAGAAACATTGCGGCGTGGGAGGACAAGTTCGGATTTGTAGCACATTATCTCCTTTGCGAATGTTCTTCACATTGATTGAAATTGGAGTGTTTTCAGTGTCTTCATGTCTCCTGCATTGAAGTAAACGAAACAAATTATGAACACTTACAATAGACTAGATATCATCCTTCTGATGTTTCCTGGAAAGGGCATTTCACCATCTTTTTTGTTTTTAAGTAATAATCAATAGATGTCAGGCCTATGCTTATGAATATGAAAAAATTGCACACATCCTAACTGCTTCTTGACTAATCAGTTCTGTTAGTCTGCATATGACAGTAGAATGATTGAAAGTTATTATCCAATGATTCTCTTGAATGATGTTCCTTTATTTTAGTTCTGTTCACATACATTACATGACCTCATATGTTAATAAAAAATGGGATATATGGGATATTCTTTCTTCAAGAAACTTGTAGTTCTACAAAACTAGAAGCAAAAACGGTTAAAGAACTTACTTCTTCCTTGTTTGCTTCTCCTGGAGTTTGCTCTTCAGTGGTGTTACATTTTTCTCCTTGTTTGCTTCAAGCAATGGCTTCCTCTCCTTTTCTTTAACATCCAAGTCACCATAATCATCACTGGAACTGTCTTTGATCAAATTCTCCCCCATGTTCTCTTTGTCTTTAGGCCTAGTGGCCAATTTCTTCAATTCATTGCAAAACTCTGTCACCTTACTCAGTATGTCACCGCCGGCAAACAGATTCTTCGCTGATAGGGTACTTCTTAGACTCCGTGGCTGTTCCTTCCTCCAGGCGTTTTCATCAACATCAAGTTGTTTCTTTTCTGTGCTTGATTTCACTGTCTCTTTCAGCAATTTGGCTTTGTTATTTGGAGGGGTAGCATAATTTGGGTTCTGATTCTCACTATCTTCCATAGCCCTGCCATATTTCATGTCTGTAGCTGGTGAAACTATTGGTTGCATTACTCCTCTCTTCTTCAGTGCACCATCTCTGAAATTGAAAGAACTAACAGATTACGAACCATTTTTAGTCATCTGTTACGAGTGAAAAGATTTAAGGACTCCAATTATACCTCCTGCTACGCTCGTTCAATGGAAGCCTTTCGGACCCAAAAGCTGGTCTTTGAACCTTTACAGCATAAGAGAAGAACAGCATGTCAAAGAAGGTTTGACTTGGATGGACACTCAAAATCTGATGCTTTAGTACAGAGAAAACTACAATTTCAGAAGAAGATAGACTGGAGCTATAAATCCAGACAGACAACATAATATGGAAAGTTGCGTGTGCTCGGAAAAGATCTCGAATCAAAGTTTAGGACAAAAGGGCATATCATAGGATAAGATTATGCAGTAAAATTTCAATAAACCATGCTTTATCTGCTCAACTTTTTTCCAATTGTAAACCCGAATGCTAAGAAAATTGACTAAATTCTTTCCCTCCTCATCCTTCTTTATCAAAGATGCTAAGAAAGTAAGAATTTTTCATGGCAGATTCATTGTTTCGTCTCTTATCAAGTGATGCAGGGTAGTTGCAGAAAGAAAGAACAGGTTCCTAAGATATGATGCATAGTATTAAATCTTGACCGATAAGAAATTCAATAACAAAAAACTGAACGAACAGTTACCTCATCCATGACTAAAAAAATTAATCTTGACGATAGATTACCCCAATTCCATTCTTTTATCTCAACATAACTTAAATAAAAATCGATTCTTGAGGATCAAACAAACAGCCCGGGAACATAAGAAGAACGAAATCAAGATCATCAAACAAAAGTAAATAAGTAAAAGAAACCTTGGCTTCCGGAGTTTTCTGCTTACAAAAATCTTCAAATTTCTTCGGGTGATTACAATCTGCAACCAAAAAAAAAAAAGGGCAAACGAAAAATCCTCAAATATCAAGAAACTAAACCCACCTAAGAAAGTGACTCATAAGTAACAACGGCAGCTTAATTTTACCTGGTCTGCAGAACCAAGATTCATCATCAATGGCGGCATCAGGAGCAGAAAAATCAACCCATTGAGGAGCATTAATATTCTCGTACATCTCATCTCTGACGAACCTGGAATCCAAGTTCTTCCAATCGATCACAGCGACCTCCATTTCCCGCCTTCTTGATAAACGGAGAAAAGGGGCTCGAAAATCAACCTCGACAATGTCTTCAGAAAGGCCTTTGATCTTCTGATTCTTCGAAGAAGCTTTTGAATTGAGCGGAAATTTGCACAGTAACAGTGAAGTGAACTGAGTATCAGCAGATGAAGAGGGAAGAAGAAGAAGAGCTTGATCTGGGCTGGCATGGAAAAATGGACCGTTGGCGACGAAGACGTTTTTATTATTTTCTTTATTATAATTCAGCTGACCGTTGGGAATTGTCTCTTTAATAGGTTCATGGGTTTTCTTTACAGTAAGTCAGCCCAATAAGAACTGGATCGACCATTAGCCCATTAATATTAGGCTTCACTCATTAACTAAAGAAAAAAGAAGAACAGGTAGCCCATTAGTGTTCCCAAGTCCTCAACCAAGTTTTTTACTTATATTTTCTTCCATAAAAATTTGGTACAACTCTAGTCCGCACAATATTTCTTCTCGATATATTTTCTTTATCAGTTTATTCTTACCTAGCAAGCATCTTCTTCTTGGACTTGTCATTTTGAAGTTCTCGTGGTCTAAATATTCAGGCTTATTTGGGCATATGTTTTGCCTTCAACCATGGTGCTTTCTTTCTTCTTAGTTATTATTCTCATGACCTACAATTATTTTTAATGCTGCTTTTCGGAGCACAGTTCTTGGATGAACTCTTGGATATTGGTGGGTGTCAAGCCACACAAATAAAATAACCTACTTCAAACTACTGTAATATAGGGAAGTAAGGTCGTCTCCTTAGGGAACGATGGATTGTTTCCTTCAAATTAATGCAAAGGAGATTTTTGGATTGTTTTTCTAAACTAAGATAATGAAATACAAATAACGAAAACTAAATAAAAGAAAAGAAATCAAAGTAACAGACTTCTGACTCAAGGAACGGATAACTCAATTATTTCATTAATCATAGGCTACTAAAACTACTCTTGCAATTTAAGCATTCAACCAAAGATCTATTAGGATAGCCGTAATAAATCAATTAATCTCCCTAAATTAACTAACCAAGCCTAGCACTCAATTAATCTTTATCATAATTCGGCTGGGCACGATAGCGTTTCATACCAAACAATGATAGCATAAAAACCAAGGAAATATAGTTGAACCAAAACCTAAACAATTGAGATAGCTGCAACTATTCAGACTTTGTCCCATTAATTCCACATTTAAACGAACATGCATATTCAATGTCTCACCAATACACATGCTTTGTCTAATTGCTACTCAGTACTTCTAGTTCTTGTCTATTACGTAACATTCAACTAGCAGATAGCACTAGAAAATAAATAACAAATCAAGTTGTCAATTTGAATGATATCTACTTTCATAAATAAAGACAGGAATCAATAAATACTTAAATCATAGGCAAGAACAATAATTAAGAACAAAACCTCCGAATGGAATAACTGAATAAATCCCTTGAATCAGAAAAGAAAACTTAGCCACTCATAGTTGGAAGTATGACGGTTCGATTCTCCATGGAAAACAATGAAAATTCGGGAAAAACAAGAGGTGGGAGGTGCTAGCCTATGGCTACACACACGGCTGCCCACAAAACATCACTCAAATTCTTTTTATAATAGAAATTTAGGTCAGCCGCAGGAAAACAGCAATTATTCGACAATTTGCATCTTTGGTCCCTCAAGTTTGCAGTATTTTTACTTTTGCCCCAAAACTTTTTCAATTTTGTATTTCAGTCCTTGGACGTCCAAATTAATCCAAATCAGCTCCAATCTCTTATTTCCAGCTCCTAACATGAAATAATAACAAAACTAATGAATTAAATCCATTCAAGTCCATAAACTAATAAAATATCTATAATTAAAACACAATTTATGGACTCTATCAAATTCGCCCACACTTAAAGTATGCTTGTCCTCAAGCATTAAAGAACAAAAGAAATTTAATTTCTCTTATTTATGATGCACCTCAGGAACTTTAGCACTCAGCAGAAATCATGGTAACAATAAAACAAAAATTCACAACCGAATCAAATACATTATATACTCTACCCTTTAGCCCTTTGTGTGCGTGTATAAACCACTCCCTAGGGACATCACTATCACATATAGCATAAAATACAAAAATTCAAATGCAAATATGCCACTGAAGAGTGAACTTAGGATCCTTAATTCAGACCGTACTTCAATGCAATGTTACTCCTACACATATTATGAAACCGAAGGCTTACAGTTACACCTCACATTATACAATTCAACGCACTTCCCTCGTACCCATTCTTCAGTGTCCATATGGCTTTTCTTCAGGATCTTTCCCACTCAGGCCCCTACCCAGAGCATTTTTCCACCTGATTTATGTAATGATTTACATAGTGGTTCAGCAACTTAGGGCAGTCTACTTACTCGTATTTTCTCACCGACGGGCCTGAGGACACTCTGCTAGTTGTTTGCCAAACTTCTAACCTATCAATGGGCTAGCATCAACATTGAATGCCTTTCCTTTTCTCCCTCTTTAAATTGTACCTAACCTCAGAAAAGCATCCGCCAACAACCCCTCCCCCACACTTACTTAGTACAAAGTACTTTAAGCAAGAAGGTAAAAAGGCTATTTTCAAACCACCACTCCCCCGTTATTCGAGTTTGGAGTGATGATAGGGTTAATGCCTTATTTTTTTGGGTTCCATAATATAGTAAGGTCTCATATGCAAATGGTACAAATACTGAATGAATCAAATCAAACTTTGGCATATCGGATGAATTTAGGCAATTACACATACATGTTAAGTTTATCCCAGAGTTGCGGCTAAAGTGCGCAAGTAAAGTATTCAGGGTATAACACATAATGCATAGACTCAAAAGAAATTTTTTGTCCCAATGTAATTAGATTTCTTAGAGTCTCAAGTTAAGTTCATCATCGGCTATTTTTGGTATTTTTTATTTTTCTGACTTTTTTTTTTTCATTTTTCAATGTTTTTCTTTTTTTTTTTTAAAAAAACATAAGCAAACATTAAAATAAAAAAAACAAACAGACAAGAACATCTAAAATCCCCCCCACACTTAGAACAAACATTGTCCGCAATGTAGCAAAAGATATAAAAAGGAAGAGCAACACTTCCCTGAAAAATGTTTTTGGTGATACTGGTGCGAAACAACAATTGACGAACAATGATAATAGCAGTAGAAGCTAGTCAATGATCCAATTGAAGTTTGGTTTGCCCGATTGCAACTTTGGGATTTAGGGTTCCTGGAAAAGAACAGAAAAGGAAAAAAACAAAAATAAAAATAAAAATAAAATATTTTTGGGTTTTTTTTTTTTTTTTTAAAAAACGAAATAGGGAATGTCCTGTTAGACGTGATCACGTCTAAGGCGTCGTTCGAATCTGCCCTGGACAATAAAACAAGCGTTAAAAAAAAAAATAAATTCAAACACTTACTTTCTTAGGCATAATCACACCTAAAAAAAAATAACACTTGCAAAAATTAATCCAGCAAACCTAAAATGCACCTATCCATGATCATGCTTACAAAACACTATTTTTCTTAAAACATTAAGCACACATTAAAATTCAACTTCAAATCACAAAACTAACTAATGAATCAAACACAACATAAACTTAAACATTTTGGGTTGCCTCCCAAACAGCACCTTTCTTTATTGTCTTTGGCTAGACCAATTAAACGCGCCTCAAGGTGGAAATTTTGAAACTCCACCTAACAATGGAATATGATAAAACCCTGAGCAAATTTCAATAAAATCAAAGTTAGATGGACTGGATTCAGATTCAAATGCAAATATAGAATCAGCAAAATGAGGTGGAAAATAATCCCCCTAACAGTTTCTTTAAACACTCCACATCTATCTAGTCTTCCTAAAATTACATCTATCTTTAGTCCTATTTCAGGAGGTCGAGGAAGATGTCCATATGCACAATCTAGAGATATCGGTGGCGGTTTTGACTCTAGTATTGGAGATTTCCATTCATCAATTATATCAGCAATAGAACATGGTAGAGTAAGTATACCTGGATCATTGCATTTGGAAGAAAATTTTGATTGTAACATACTAGATATATCTTCTCCAACTACTACCTCATTCTTAGAAAAGTTCTCCATCACTTTCTGTTTGGGCTCCTCTATCTTTGGTTCTACTGACATATCTGAAAAAGAAGTATCAGCTGCATTAGTTTGACTAAATAAAATGGAAAGATCAATTATCTCATTGTCGTCCAATGCCTCTGATTCATTTTTCTCTACTTCCATATGTTTCAAATCTTCTGCATTTTGAATAGGTACAGTCTCCACACCATAAATCTGTTCTATGAAAGGATATTTCATTTTCTCTAACTCACCCTTGAGAATCGCTCGGAAATGGAGGAAGTATCATGTAACGTGAATCTTCTCTAACAACTTCCTTCGCTACCTTCTTCTCAAATACATCATCTTTGGGAGTCACTTCTTTCATGGCACACACACTTTCAACAGGATTAACTACCGATGGAGATGGTAATTCCACAGGCTTTGAGATTTCGAACTTGCTAATAGCATTAGCTAGTCAGCTAATCGGCTCCCAAATCCTGTATGCTTGCCCTTGTTTCCTGTTCAAATTCAAGAGTATTAGTGCCAAAGTATTAACAATCTCATCTAAAGACAAACCTGAGCTTTGAGACTGTGGAGGTTCCGAAACATGATACACTTGTGGCTGAGATGGCTGATACTTATAGTTGAAATTCTGATAATCCTGCCAGCCTGGATCATATGAATATGAACGATGTTCGTATCTTTCTTGTGGCGATCTCCAAGATTCTCTCATGGCATTCTGACCCTCCCACCGGTAGTATGGTAATTTTGGACAAAAATCGCTAGTATGACTAGTAATTAAACAAATACCGCATCTTTGGACTTGTTTCTGTTGACCTATAGCCATATTTTTCACAAGAGACGTTAGTTCACATAATATTTGCTCAAGATACGATGAACTTACCTCATTTTTATTCCAATGGTCATCTCGTCGATTCCAAGATTGATGTGCATATGAGTCCATTGCAAAAGAAAAAAAAATTAAAATAAAACAAAACAAAAATTTAAAGGAAACAAATCAATTAACACCGTTCCCCGGCAACGGCGCCAATTTTGGTGGGGTGTCAAGCCACACAAATAAAATAACCTACTTCAAACTACTGTAATATAGGGAAGTAAGGTCGTCTCCTTAGGGAACGATGGATTGTTTCCTTCAAAT